GTGGTGTTACTTATGAAATTCCTGCTAATATATTTATATTAACAACAGGTACTGTAGTTCTAGTTATTCTTGCTTTTGTATGGCATAAAACAACTATAATTAATGGAACTCCACATTCAACTTATTTAATGGGATTTTCATTAACATTATCACTTGTTGATTGTACGTCAAGTGTAACATTTTTACCGTTTCTTGATCGTTATGAACCAATTTACATTAATGCTTATTTTCTTGGTGAAGCACTTTCTAGTTTATTTCCAGCTTTATTAGGTATAGCACAAGGTGTAGGTCAAACATCGTGTATAAAAAATGAAACTGGACAATTAGTTGAATACAATTCTCCACCACGGTTTTCTGTTAAAGCATATTTTTTAGCATTATCAGTTATTATGTTAGCATCACTTCTTTCATTTATTACTCTTTGTTTGACACGAATGGGTCGAAAAAAAGATACAAAATCGAACGATTCTTCGAATCTAAAGTTTGCAGTCATATTTTTTCATTATTATTTAAAAATTCTTTAATTTTAGAGACGCTAGACCAGTTGTTGAATTAAGTACAGTCGAAAAGACTAATATTGATTTAGATATTATTGAAAACATAGACGCAATGGAAACTGAATGTCAAATGACTAGAGATGAATTTTGGTTTTCAGAGCATGGAATATATTTATTTCTATGTTTTTGGACAAGTATTCTTATTATTGGTAAAAATAATCGAATATTTTTTATTACATTTTTTCATTCGAATTTTCTTATTTAGGTGCTACACCAAGTATTCAAAGTATATTTGATTTTTTTTAATGTCAATATTCATTCTTTTATTTAAAAAACATTTTTTTTTATAGGCTTTTCTCTCTATCCTTATTCAATCGAAGTTTATCATCATACAATCATAGCTTGTCAATTTGCATATCCTCTCATGTCATTTCTTGGTGTATTAGTTCCAACTTTGCGTTCTCGTCACATATATATTCTTACTGTTATTGGTACTGGTCTTTTTGCATATACATTTATGGCTGCTAAACTATCACCTTGTTCACCATTAGTTGATCAATTTACTGGTCGACTTTTGATCTCTTTTAGTTGGGTATTGAAATATTGTGTATTATATTTTATTCGTGTTTTGCTTGGTAATTATTTTCGGCGTAAATCTGGTCATCGTGGATTATTTTGGTTTGGTGTATTAACACAAATAGGTTCATTAATTGGTGCAGTTGTTATTTATTTATTAACAGATCATTTACATCTGTTTCGTGAACGTAAAATATGTGTGTCTTATTCATGTTAAATTAAAAATAAAAGAATCTTTACTTGATAGAGAGACATCTATCACTAGTCTTGAAAACAAGAACTCTACTGAAAAGAGGTTATCGTCTAAGAAACTATTATAATTATGTCAGAATAGTATGAAAAAAAAAATAGTTCGTTTAATTTGTTGTGATGGTATCTGCAGAAAATAGTTCTCTTGAATATTTACGTAGTTTAGGTAATTGATTTGAGAATATTTTATATGATTGAAAAAGTGTATCTTTTCATAGTTAACTATGATACAAACTCAATTTTATATGATGACACATTAATTTGCTCATTAACAAATAATACAGATGTTGGGTCATTTGAAGTTAAATTGACAAAAACAAATTATGGTAATCTTCATGATTGTATTCAAGTTATTGCTAATAGGTTGGTTGAAAATAATCGAAATAAATAATAAAATGATTTGTTTTTTCGGTTTTAGTCAAGCAACTATTGATGGTGTTCCCTGTGGAACAACAGTACGGGCAGTTGTGACAAAAGAGCTTGTTACTGTACAGCAAGAACACACGGAATATGTCAAAGTATGTCAATCAGAAGAAAGAACTACAGCAAAAGATATTGATGCTTTAATTTAGTTGCCGAGTCCTATTACACGAATCGTTGATTTTATTTCGGAATCAACAGATTATGTTATTACAATAACTAATGAAGAAGGAAAAGTCCGTTAAAAACTATCTGTTAGATGATGCAATATATATTTAAATATTTTTCTTTTAGAAAAAAACAACAGAAACAAAACGTATTCCAAAACATCAAGCCCATGGACTTATTTTAGAAGGTAGAAAAAAACCGATGTATTTAGCTTTCATTCATATGATCCTGTATTATACATTAGGTGCTAATCTCATACTTCAACGTTTAATGATTCAACGTAACATGCCAGAAAAAGTCACATTACTTTCACTTGATTCATCATCTGAATTAAGTAGAAATGTTTATGTAAATAAAAATTTCCTTTCTTATGAAAATAATTATTTGTTTCTTACTAGACATCACTCGGTCCACAACAAGTTAATATTAATGGAAAAGATATTGAAGCATGGGGTATACAACGACAAATATTTGAAACAAAACCAAATGCATTACCAGTTGCATGGCAAAGTTATTTTAGTATTGACGGGTAAAGATTTTTTATGTCTGATAATATTGATTATATCGGTAAATAAATAGACATCTCATCTCTCGATATCAAGTTGGTTCACCAATTAAAATGAAAACAAGAATATTACCTATAGCAGAAGAGTTTGGTAAAATTAATAAAACATTTTCCTTTTTATCTATGAATTTCTCTCTTTCAATCTTTGTTTTATTTCAACAGATGAATATTTACCTAAACCAGAAATTCCTAAAAAAGAAATTAAATGGGAAAATGACTTAGAACTACGTTCAAGATTCATCGATCGACGTGTAAGTAAAATAAATCCACTTTAACCATCTTTTGCAGATCAATACTCCCTAGGGATTGTTTATAAGGGGGTCTCGAAGTAAAAATCACATTGTTCGACCGCTTTTTCTTTCCGCACATCCACTATAAAAAAAATTTACATTAACAAGTTGCTCAATTTTTTATTAAATAACAGTTCATTGAATAAATATACAGGAATATTAAGAAAGGCTAAATATACATTTCATAAAAGAACAAAAAGAACACTAATCATTGCAAAATTTTTGATTTTTTAAAACATTTTATTTTCATGAGCAAAAAAAAACTAAAAACAAAGAATAAAATTCAATACCAATGGCCTTCGAAAATCTTATACAATTTCTGGATAACATAATTATCTGCTTATATAGTATAATCTTAAACTATTTCAACACCATATATATATATATATATTTAACAGATTTGTAGTCAGTTCATTTCTTATTGAAAAGTTCTATTCGCAACAAACAAGTTAGAAATACATGAAATCCTAGAACATTATGCTAAAATAGCATTTCTTCCTTAATAAGAGTTTAGTTAGTTTAAAAAGTTTGACATTAGTCGAAAATTCTTATCTTTTAGTTTTGTTTTTGACCAATTGCAACTGGGTTGGACACTTGTGTTTTGCATTTGACAAGTCATAAAACTACATTCAGAAAGAGCATTTAAAATCGATCATAGCTCGCGTTAAGAATCGCACGGAGTCCAGTAATTCTAAATTCTACAGAGATTCTAAACTCTGATTACGAATCTAAGAAATTCGTTTATCCCTGCTTATAAAAGCGTATGCCTAGTATTGAGAATTACCGGACTCTTAGTGATTCTTCATGTCAATGGTGATCATTTTTCAATGCTCTTTCTGAATCTATTCTTAAGTTTCAGAGAGAGCACAAAAGCCTAATCATAGTTGATATAAATAGTTTACAATATCTACATTCTTCATAATGAAAAAAAGTGTTATCTTTAGCATCACGTTTCAAGAATTGATGCATTCCTAAAACACATAGTGTGACAAACAGAAAAATATTGACAGTAAGCGCTTGGGTGTCGTTTATTGATGGTTCCTTAGAGCATTGCATTGAAATGAGAAATTCGAGTCCAGTGGAGTTGAAATTAAATCAGTAAACAGTCAAGTATTTTCACTATTACATAGTAGCAAGTTTACTCTTCACACGTTGAGTAATGAATAAAAATGCACTATTTGATAGACTCATAAGTGAAAATAATATCAGAGACACTCTTATTAACAAGTAGCATCAAACCTAGTCAAGAAAACTGCCACAGTTTTGTTGGAGTCAAACTTTTTGACTCCACAGATGTCTATTGCTTATCCTTCTTGAAATGAATACTTTCTTTCACACTCTTGAGTTGAGATTCATAACTAAAAATCTTAATCATAACTTTGAATATTAAATATAAACAAAATATATTTTATCTTTTAGGAAGAATTAATCGATGATTACAAGTCATATATTTATCATCGTCCGGATATAAACGCACTTTTATCCGATTTTCTTCAATCAGTTTTAATTATGAAACCTGAAAATGTAATCGAATATGCAACTGAATTTTTTGCTCCATTTAACAATCAAACAGCTGATCGTTCTTTATTTCGTTTTGCTGATGAAAAAATTCCTGTTCCAAAATCAAATATACCTTTAAAATAAAAATGTCTTGCTGTTGGTTTTTTTTTTATTCGACTTTATACGAAAGAAAAGAAAGACACATCGAAAATAGACAACATCAATAAGAAAGAAAGAAACAAAAAAAAAAAACAGAAACAAACATTGCGCGTACATTCACGCATCTTTATTTTTAATATATGTATACAAACAGGTTAATCTTTCGTTTGGAATTTTTGTTTATATGCTTTAGGAGCAGTAAGAATTAAGGTGATACTGTTTGTTGCATGAGAGAGAGAGAGAGAGAAACAAAAAGAAAAGCATGTACAAAATACACGATTTGTTTCTTATGTACATATATACGCAGACAGATACGAAACGGAAACGAAACAAAAACAAACGGCTACTGTTCTAAATACACAAAAAACAAGTTTTTTCTTAATTTGCTGTATGGAATAGAAATAACGACTAGCAAATACACACAAATGATTCTCAATAAAGAACAAAAACAAACAGAGTTTGTTCGACATACAAGATCACAACACGGAAGCACCCGCTGCTGACTAGAAGAAAACATACCAATAAACAAAAAGATAACAATTTGATAAAAATGTTATGTTTTGCTTGATTTTTTTTTCATTTTATTTCATCCGAAGAAAAGATTATTGGATAGTTGTCAATAATTGCTTGAATTAATGGTTTCGCTCTTTGACATGTTTGTTCAGCTGTACGTAAATCACGAAATTGTGGTTGAAACAAATTTGGCCACCATAAAACAGCTAAATTTGATGAATCCATATGTGTCGAAGCAGCATGTTGTGAAACACTGAAGATAAAAAATTATTGAACACTCCTTTATGTGCACAAACAATAAACAATCGAAATCAACAGATCATCCTACTGTGCATCATAAGTTGCTTTATTTCAAGAAATAGAGACTAAATTTTCTTTTACTTGTTTCTAGTGTTTTATTCAAATTTTGTCTTTCAAAGGAGCGATTTACAACTTCGAGAGGATTCATTAGACCTTCGAAGAAACGCTTCTAGAACTTGCCAGGTCCAGGTCTGAGTTCGAAACTTCGAACCTGATGGACTCTACCCTACATGTTTCTTAGACGACTAGTTTGAATTAAGTGTAGAATGCCTTAGTCACCGAATTTAAAAACCAAAAAAAAGAATCTCATATCCTCAGGTTAGCTTTCCTATTCCGATTGAAAATTTTTATTAAAAGTATCAAAATATGATTTGGTCAGATCCAGATCTCAAACACGTTCAATAAACCGAGTTCGAGTTCAAAAATTTTAGATTCAACGGGCTCTAGGTGATATCTCCTTGAACATCATGTTGGATAAGACACTGCTTGATTCTAACAATTATCTTTGTACTATGTTTTTATCGCTACGAATAATTGACTATAAAAAAAATAACCTTCGTCTGGTTGGAATAATAACTTGACTGATTGTTTTTTTTTGCTCTGCATTGAAAGGATCATTTCACCATGTTACTCGTATTACTTGTAAGTCTATCTTAGCTGTTTTTTGATAAGATATGAAACCAATGAAATATATTATTCGAACAACCATCAAATATATTACAGATGTGTGAACCAGTTTTTTCAAAAGATTTTGTTTACTGGGAGAAAACTAAAGATTTGTATAACAAAATAGCAAGAAAAACATTTTTTCCTGGCAAAATGCGCTATTTAAGATAGAAAGTTTTTGTTTCGACGAATGATAAATATGATACGCGTGATCAGCGCAAAAAAAATTGAGTTAGATTACGTATCATGTGGCATCATTAATTTTCCTGAGAAATCTTTCCTGTAGCCCTCTGAAGGACGCAAAACAGCTAAAGGGAACTATAGATAATTTTTGCAAGGAATATAATGTGTACTAGAAAATATATCATCTGAATCAATTTTTTCCGCTGATTACAGATATGACATTTATTTTTATGGGAACAAAATTTTCCCATCCCAAACAGCTCATTTTAAGAACCAAAAATGTCATCTTGCCATTTCTTATATCAATCTTAAGTTTTTCCATGTAAACAAAATCTTTAGAAAAGTTCTTTATTATATTTGTAACTTCTTTGATGCTAGGTCAAATGACATATTTGATTTCATATCTTGTCAAAAAAAATCTAGATAGGCTTACAAGCCACAGTTGCAACATGGTTGAGTGACCCTTCAAATGCAGAAGAAAAAAACAATCAGTCAAGTATAGGTTTAACGACAAGGTGAATATCATCACATGGAATAGAAGAATTTGAATCCGAGTTACATAAAAATAATCTCGAAAGCTTCATATTATTCTCGAAGACTTTCTACTATGATGCTGGTGTAATTCCTTCATCTATTTTTTTTTGTCCTTTTCTTTTCTTTATCTTTTGTTTCTATTTCTTTTTTCTTATTTCCTTTTTATCTTTTGGATGCTACATCTTTTGTGTCCCTTCAGGACCGAAACGATCAAACAGCTTGAAAGACAATTATTATATATGTATAACAATCAGTCAAGTCATATTCCAACAAGGGGAAGATTACTTTTTTTATAGCTAATTATTCACAATAATTACAAAAAGAAACGCTTGCAATTGTTAGAACTAAGCAACACTTTATCCAACGTGGAAGCCAAGAGGGCAATGCCCCTTTAAAGGTCGAGTTGGCTTCCCCGGAGCTTGTACTTGTTGTGCTATGTGTCATTACTCTCAAGAATAGATGTTCGCCCTCCTGAAGAGAAAATCTGACTAGAACCTTGCAACCAAATTACAGAAAAGTTAGTCTTGGTTTCTTTAAATAAAGCGATTTTCCTATACACAATATAATAATCTTATTATTTTGAATGTTTTTTTTGACTACTTAAAGAAAATTTTGGCTTTTTGGCATATAATTACACTTACAAATGAAGATGTTTAAAAATAAACTTGATTGTTCGATATTTAAGTTCACTTGTTCGAGACAAAGCTTTTCGCAATGAAGTAAAATTTTGTTCACGTAGTTGATCAACTAAAAACAAAAATAAATAAATAGGTTTTCTTTTATAAACAAATATTTTGTTTTTTACTTGTTAAATTTTTACATTCATCAAATAATTCTAATGATAATAGTGGTTCATCAAGTTTTCTCATCATGTCTTTTAATGCTGTTGCTACTGCACTTGCTGGAACTTGTAATAAATGAAGGTCATATGATGGATCTATATTAAAAAAGTTTCAGTTTTTTAGTCTATTGAAATAACTATTTTAACCTTCAGTAAGTTTATTAATAACTAATTCAACTTGATTTTTAAATCCGGATACTCGATAAAGTCCTTCAACAGCTAATCCATATGCTTCAATAAATGTAATACATTTTTCAATAAATAACGGTACACCTGATTCCTTTGATTGAATACAACGACTTAATGATAAACGTAGTGGAGAATGATGATGAGAATTTTCAACAGATGATAATGGAGATGCACTTGTAGTTGAATTTGGAGGAGTTGAAGTCATTGTTGCTTTAAATGAAGGTAATGGTGGCGAAGAAATAGATGTGACTGTTGCAGCAGGAGAACGAGTTTTTAAATCATTTTTCTAGCGAAAAACAAATGGAATCATGATTTTGAAAAATTCATAAAGATAAGAAACTTACATCACGTCGAACTTGAGCAAAATATTGTAATTGACGACGAATCCAATTAGCTGTTGGTCGTTCTTCAAGTTCTTCAATGGATGTATTCTTTAAATAGAAAAAAAAAAGATATTTTCTTATTTTATTTTTGTCAGATTTTATTTTAATAAATTTACTTTACTATCTTTTGTATAATCGCCTATACTTGAATCATCTTCGTTCGATATGACAACATTTGATGATGATGATGGTTCGGGGGCAATACTAATTTTATGCGTGTCTTTTGATTCTAAATAAATAAAAAGTAAAAATTGACCATTTAAAAAAAACAAAAGCACACGAACTCAAAGTAAAAACTTTGAAAATATTGATATAGACACATGTTTGTATCATTGCTACGGAATTTATGTTTTACTTTTCTATCATTAGTGATCAATGAACTACATGCTCTCTTTGAATTGTTTTGTTTTCCTCTCGATTTCTATACCCAATAGATTTCGTTTTTTTTGTCCTTAAAAGTTAGTACTAAATAACTTTTGTTCTAACAAGTTGTATTATAATTCTCTGAGGAAAAATTGCACTAGATATGAATGGATAAAATATAGGTAATAAAAACAAAAGTCTTCATACCCATGCGAGAATCAATTCCGGAATCAGTTTGTGCTTGATCATAAACAGCTTTTTTTCGTCTTTTAAAACTAGGTCGACGTTTCTTTTTTGGATGTTGCTGTTGTGGAAGACGTTTATCATCATCGACTAAAATTTCATCATCAGATCCAGCTTAAAATAAAATGATAAGTTTTAAGAAAAGAAACTTTTTGTTTTTTTTTTTTTCATTACTTTTTTTTAATACTTCATTACTCGATGTTAAACCTGTAACATCATTTTGTTTAGCACGTACACGTTTTGATTTTCTATCTGATACTTTTCTTTGTAAAGTAACAGTACTTTGTTGTTGATTATTTGTTGGTGAATTTATATTATGTAATGTTGTTGATGATTCACGTTGATTTAGCAAAAGTTCATCACTTGAACTATCAGAAGATGAATCAGTTGCTAAGAAAAGAAAAAAAAAATGAATATTTTCATTTAAAGGAACTTAATATTAAATTAAAAAAAATAATAAAACCTCTTGTTTGTTTTGATGAGTCTGTAATCGATTCATCCACTGTACTACTATGATTTTGATTTTGTTGATGGATTGTAGGCGGTGATGATGATGAAGAATTGACGGCTGGTATATCATCAGTATGATTATTGGATAAAACTAGTGATGTATCAGAATATTGTTTAATAGAAAAAGGTGTTGCTATTGATTCATTGAATTCAATTATTTCGGGTGTAGCTAATGGTACTTTAACTTGTGGAGCAGTTCGATGTTTATATAAATGAAATTTCATGTCTTCTGATGATGATAATCTTGATGAGATTTCGTTTATTCGGCTATGTTTTGTTAATGACTATAGATAAAGAAAAAGAAAAGTTATCATTCATAGAAGATATTTTCTTATTTTGTTTTTTCGTACATACACTTTCTTTATTTGCATTACTGGGTGATGATTGGTAACTGGTACCATCGGCTGAAAGAAATATAAAAAAAGGTACTTATTAATATTAGATTTCGATGAATATACAACAGAATAGACTTGATGGAAGCAACAGCAGTGCGCTGGCAATAGCCACTTGTCAACAGTCAAAAAAAAAACGAGAGGGGGTAGTTACTTTTCTCGTCGCCTATTTTTTTTTGACGGCAAAACGCGCTTGTATTTGTTATCGGTGGTAGAAGTTGCTTTTCCTTTCTCTTCTCGTTTTTTTTCTTCTTGGTTTTACACAAGCGTTAGGAATAGCATCGGATAGATAAGTAATTAAAAAAACAAAGAAGAAGAATAGATTCGGACAAGAGATGACGGATATTAATTAACAATTGTAAAAGAAAAAATAGCCCTCGCTTTTTTAAAATAGAACATCAATTTATTGATAAGTGTAATAGAATCTTCATTAGTATTTTGTTGATCAATAGTAGACAGTTAATAATAAATTTTGAATTCTCATAAATGTCAATCGATTTTTGACAATACTATCAAAGTCATATTGTGCTCTTTAGGTACTTATGCGGTTATAATGCTCTTAAAATCCATAAGTGTAGCTTTCCGTAGTTTAAGTTCAATATATCGAAACTATTTCTATAACTCTAACAATAAAGTTTGTTATCTTTGCGGAAATCTGGATCAATACACATACATATAGGTTGACAAGACAAAAACAACAGAACGATTAAACAAATAAATAAAAGCACAAGCACAATGATTTAAATCTACTTTACCGTTAAATGTTAAATAATTAACTAGAATAAATAAAATTAAAAGAAATATGCTCTTCTAATATTTAATTCTAATAGATTATTATTTTTTATTTTTTTTTGAATAACTACAAACTACGATCTACGATTAATTAGTAGATTAAAACTTACTTGGATGTTCCATAAGTTTAGCAAAACGCATACTAGTTGATTTTTTAAATTGTTGATGTTGACTATCAGATATCGATGACGTTGATATCGATGATGGAGATATTAAACCAAGATTTTTTACAGATGGATCAACAGGTGTTGTTGGAACTATTGTTGATTCAGCACCATTATTTGATATCGATACATATGAGTAAGATCGATAAGAAAACACTATAAGCAAATAAATATTGCAAATGATATTTTTCTTTTTTTTTTACAGTCGAATATGTTGTTACTTTGTTCGTGGTTTGTTGGTGTTAATATTGAAGATTGATGTCGTGGTGAATGTTCGTTTGATTTACTTGATAATACTAAAGAACCTGCTCGATCATTTACACTATTTGTTAATAATTGTTTATGTGTACGTTCAAGACTAGATGTCATTAGATCGCTAGCTGATACATGAGTTGCACGACTGGAATTCAATAAATTTCCTTTTTTCTTCAAAAACTAAACTAATTAAACTTACTCAAAATAAGATGTAACACCAATAAGAAGTTTGTCTCTTTGACAATAATCATTCTCAATTGTATTACCATTTTTTCCAGTCCAACATTGATTAAGAAAAGGTAAAAGGTGAGCTAAATAGATTGAAATATGATTTGAAAAAACTGTTAGCACAATTCTTACGGGTTTGAAACATGAAGCGCGATGCAACTGTTCTAACTAATCACAAGAAAATTGTTTTATTTTATTTATTCTGGGAGACTTTTCTTCATCATTCTTTCATTTAATGCTCTATAACTGCAATAAGGAAGTACTCCATATATTATAACGAGTGTTTATTGATTTACAATCAAAGATCGTACATCAACAATGTCTACGACAGAGAGTAGGGGTTTTGCTAAGGCATTTCCACGGTCTATGATGCTTTTTGACTACTATCCATCACAGTTAGAACCCATTGGATCTAAAATTTTCGGATCCGCATCCAATAGATCAAACTTTTTCACACCTGATCGATCAGTATCTCAATACCTTTTCCCGACTATTAGTACATCCTACACATTTCTTAGATGACTTGTCCGAGATATGTATAGATTAGAGCTTATCGTGTCCACAATTGTCCTATCCGGTCCTGATCAGGTTCGGTTCAGACCAGGGGTCAACATGACGGGCTTTGTTGTATCTTGTACTTATCTGAGAAAAATGTTCTATCGTTTACTCTATTCAACTCAACAACATGCTTATCCTTGTCCTACTCAACTCTACAGGGTAGGTTAGAGTAACCCTGCATGTTAATTCTAGTCCGGGATGCGTACAAATTTCTACTGTGAATACTTTAAGATCGTGTTTCACGACAATGGAAAGAAAAAAAAAACAAGATTTTTACATTCAACAAAATTTCTTATTGTTCCATGATGAGATTGAACACTATGATCGGTATGAGGATATTTTTTAATATTCGACGTAGATAAATCTTTAATATAAGATAATATGTAAATAGGTGGATGTATTATTTTTGTTCCAACCATTTCTTCATTATCATCAGCTTTTTTTAATAATTCATTTTGTAATGTTGTTGAAATGTGTTTTTCCAAATATCTAATTAATCAATAAGATGCTTCTTTTTTTAATTTAAAATAAAAGAAGTAATTCTTACGTCATTGTATTCATAGCTGCTTTTCGATCTTGATCATAGAATAAAATAAATCCATCAAAATCAATTAGTTTAATAGTAAATATTAAATGAAATGAAACAGGAATAAATTGAATCTTTTATAAAACAAAAAAAGAATAAATTTAAAAATAAATCTATTCAATTTAACTAAATTACTTTTCTATTTGATCGTCCAATAAAAGCATTAACAACAAATGATAATTCTCCATATTGATTAGTTACCATAAGAGAAAAACGTGATGATAATTGAGAAAAAAATTTTTCAACATCATTATTTTCTCCGCCACACATGAAACAAATTACAATTCGAAGATCAAATTGATTTTTAGTTGACACAATTTTTTCATTTGATAAAAGTTGTTCAAGTGATGATCTAAGTTGTTCGATTGTTATTTCATTTGGAATGTTCTGAGTGGAACTATTTAGATATATAATTCGAACTCAAAAAATTTTATATAATAATCAAACTTACTCATTAAGAAGTTGAAAACTTAGATTCACAATTGGAATAGCTACAAGATTTATTTTTATTCAGAATTCAATTCAATTGCTTTCTTTTTTAAACTTACTTTTAATATTAATAGGGAATCGCTTTTGAGAAATAAATTCTTCGAGAATCTCTCGACCTGTTGGTGAAACAATAAGACAACCTAAATAAAGCTGTATGTAAATAAATTTTCTAACAATAAATTAAAATCAAACCATTTATTGATTGTGTTTTGACATTATTTAATGTCCATAAATTAATTTGAAATTCATTGATCAACGATGAATCATTCTACGCAAAGAAAAAAAAAATGATAGTTTCACTTAAACCGTGCATGAAAAAATTTTTAAAATTCCTCATCAAATTCATTTCAAGAAGCTCCTAAACATCTCATAGATCATATCTATCAAAATAAAAAAGAATCATATACTGCTCATATTTTCTATGAAAGTCAGAAACAGCGAATGTTTCTAGAAATTTAGTATCTTGAGAAAGAAGTATTCCTTGTGACCAAAAGTTTCAGATTTTTGTAAAAACTAGCACAAGTAAATTTAGATGAGATTTAGAATCGAAACTTGATCATAAGATATTTTTATCAATTTCATCTTGTTCCGATGCAAAAAACTCAACAGTTTGGAAAGAAGACTTAAGGACCGTTATCCTTGTCGGCTATAACTAGTTGCACTGAAGCTTTGTCATGGATAAAGAAATCAGTTCAATCGGCGTTGATCACTTATGAAACTTCAATTGTAAGCTATAAGTGGAAAATAAATTCGATTCCAAACTGTCATTATTTAACTAATCCCAATCTTTCGAAAAATGTCAACTGTGGTTACATCATTCAATAAAATCATTTGTTAGAAACTATACGAGAAAAACCGATTTTCATTTTGTCAAGTCAAAATGTCAGTGTTTCAATTTTAATGAGAGCTGGAATTCTGCAGAACTGCTAAATCATGATATCACATAGTAATATTCCAAATTTTGGCTAGTTCCTATGCTCGAGAACTTATTGTTAGTTACTAGACGTCGACCAGATCTAAGTACAACGTTCAGATCAAAAGAGCGAAAGAACTGCTGAACTGATGCTCATTGTTTGAGTTCATATTGAAGTCGCAAGGAATTCTGGATAAGACAAGAAAACATTTATAAGAGTTTGCGTTTATGGGCCTTTGAAGCTGAATTATAACTATTTTACTAAATTCTCGACTCATTATACAGTATTTAATGAAAAATCAAAAAAAGATAATTTCGACTTACAATTTTGCTCATTGATAGGTTTAATGATCATTCAGTTATCCTGAAACTTTCAATTGAAAAAATGTTCATTTATGTAGATATTGAATTTTGCACTAAACCCAATATCTGTATTAAGCGACTATTTGTTGGAAATTCAATATATTGATAAACGAGCATTCTTTTCGACTGAAACATTCAAGATATTCTAAGAATCATTTGACATATCTATGGTCTGAAATTCAAGTCGGCATTCTTGTTTCTTGATTTTTCAGTAAATATCTCAAAATGGATCGAAAATTCAATCAAATAGTCATAACTCGGCTTCAAAGGTTCATGAGCACTAATTCTTTTCAGCTTTTCTAGTCTTACAAAAACTTTCCTCTTAAATCGTTGGTAAAATATTGTTCTATTTTGGGAACTATGCTTCAGTCACACAACAAAAATTTTTTGAATCTGCAAGTGCCTTTCTCAAAAGTAAAACAAAAATTCTTCGAATAGCTCACTTCAGAATCAAACAAAATCTGAACTTGTCAATCTCAACTAACGTTAAATGCAAAAGTAATGGCACAAAATGTTGACTCTCGAATTCTCTTCGATGAAAGGGTACTGAAAGAAAACTTTTGTTACCAAAAGATAATGCTTTGTCTCCTCTTTCTAATCGTATATAAGTTATTTTTATAACACGTTCATAAACGAAACGACACAACAGAAAAGACAAGCACCGTTAAAAGAAATTCGCACTTTTTTATGAACGGATTGCACACAATGTCTATCCTGATATATCTACTCGGTAAATATATTCTGAAAAGAACATTTTTTTTATCAGTTGATAGGAAATTTTCTTCCCTTTCGAATCGTATATGGTTGCACTTTGTTAAACATTGGTAAATGAAATGAGACGAGAAAAAAAGATAAATACTGAAGCATTAAATTGATAATTTTTATATGAATTTATCAGAAACATCTTGCAGATGACATTTGATTACAATTAATTGTAATTTTACAAGATGTTTTTAACGATTTCATATAAAAATTACAAATGTATTGCACGAGTCTTTCTCTTTATTTTCTCGTGTTATTTCAATTATGAATGAATGACAAATATAAATTATACACCAGTGGGAAGGAAAGAAACTTTCCTATGAACTGATAAAAAAGTTATCGTTCTAACACATGTTTAATAAAGAACTATAACAGTCGATATTTTGTGCTCTTATTATGAAATATACGAAAATTACAGAGTTATTTTTCGAGTGTCTCTATTTCTTCTCATGTTATTTTATGTATGAGTGTCTAATAAAAGATCTGTGCATAGTTCAAAACAGGAGAAAATTTCATATGACTTGCTATAAAAGTTTTTCTTTTCAGAAACCGTGTCTATAACAAAAACATAAAGATTGATATTTTGTGCTATTACTTTTGCATCGTTCGTTATTCGCATTATATTTAAAAAAAAATTGTTTTTTTTTTAACTTACGGAAAGTATTCGAAGACAATTACTCATATCATTCTCATTTCCACAAATTAAAATATTTCTAAAAAACAAAAAGATTATAAAAAACAAAAAATAAGAATTAATTTTAAAATCGATCGAATTTCATACTTATTAACATTTTTCTTCAAAGGTGTTAAAGAAAAAAATTCATTTATAATTCGTACATCGGCACATGTTTCTTCCATTGGACAACCAATTTCAAATTTTTTCTTATTTATTCCTTCATTTTCATAAGTATTTAATGAGAATCTACGTGTATATGGACAAAAATTTTCATCAATATTTATATTATGACTATATAATGATTGTAATGAAGATTTTCGTCGTTTAAATGAACGTTTACGTTGTTTTAATAATCGATTTAGATTTCTTGTTGGGGGATAATAAATACAATCATATAAAAAATGACAATGACACATAATTAATCTATGACGATCTGTTTCACGATTATTTAATGCTTGATATCTATGACAATAAATAAATAAATAAATAAGTTAAGTCAATTTCTTATTTATATAAATAAAATTCATTTTTCTACCTTGAATCATGTTTTATTTGTTGAATTATTTCTTTTTCGAATATATCATCAATAGTGAGAGTAGTAATTTTTCTATCATTACTTAATTTATGTGTTGTTGCTGAATTCATTTTTTGAAATGTATTAATAAATATTTCAAATGATTCCAATAATAATTCAACAAATTTTAAACATAATAAACGATAAAGATATGATTGATGAAATGCAAATACACGTAGACGATCTTGAGCATTTAATGATTCATAACATTCACGACCCAAAAAATAAACACAATCTTTTTCATAGGAATGACCATATTGAACAAGGCCAGCATCAGAAAAACGATTTAATAAATCAAAAAATGAACGACAATTTGCACGACGAGTTTGTTCTAATTGACGACTATTGATATAAGATTCAAAACGAAGACGAGCTTCAACTGTATCGAGTATATCATCGGGAATGATTAAAGATGAGGATTGATCTCCATTGTTATGCTCAGAATCTGACCACATCGAAGATGGTATCACAGTTGACGAATAACGAGGATGTTTTTGCATTTGTAAACGTACATAATCCCAATTTCTAGCATAAAATTATATACTGTATCTAGAGATGTACAGGATTAACGTGTGAACTACTGTAGGTGTCAAATCGTTTTCCGACAGAGGTAAGGTTTATTTGATGTGTTAGAGAGCATTGCAATCGTTAAAACTTGCATAACTTACTAGCATGTTTGAGAACTGTTTTCGTACGAAGTTTGAAGTCGAAACTCGAAAGTCGATTTTGCACATGACTAGAGCGGACACACAACTTTTTTTTGCAAAATTCAGTTAAATTCTTATGTCTCAAGAAAGAAGATCCAGAAAACTAAACCATTCTAGATTTCTCTATTACTCATCAAAGAACATCGTCTCAGTCCGAAAGCGATGGTTCAATAATCGGAACAGGAACTAAAACTAGTCTTGTACATTTCTTAGTGTAAATAATCATGGTTCTAATCGTGAAGCTATCTATGATACTAATCAAATTATTTTTTTTTTTAAAGATTCTGTATGAAACGAGACTTGAAGAATTGTGTAATATCAAATGTAATATATTTTTAGTGGTTCTGCTAATAAGAGAAACACCAGTCATTACGTAGGGTCTGTTGAGACTAGAAGGATTCGATTTCATGCACGGCTCTTTTGGAGTTATGGCTGTCACATTAGACTTTTTACCTTTGATACGGTATTTGTAAAAAGCAACCTAGCAAACGAATTTTTACTTAAAATTTGTCCATGGACAACTCTTGAAATCACTAGAGTTCTCTAAAAATCTCTGGTAATAATGATGATCTCTTCTCGAGATATCAAATTCACACAAGAAAACTAGAATTTTCACTTATCATGAGTTTGTGGATATTTGATACATCATGAAAAGATTACCCTTTTGGCTGAAACTTTAAGGTCAAAACTTATTTGTTCAGTTTTTTTTTATAAATACTGTGCCTTAAATAAAAATTTTCGTGTGACAGATATACTCCCGAATAGATAGTGTATGAAGAGGAACCCTTCTAATCTCAACAGACTCTACGTACTGACTGAGGTCTTATCTCAAATGTAAGGTATCACCACGAGTGATCCCCTCATGAGGAGAATTGAAATATTTCAATGTATAAGAAGTATATTCTTTCGAATATGTCGATACTGCTTCAGTATTCATAAGGATTCATATAGTTTTCTTTTAATTTAAAAATCAATTCTAATCTTACGAGGGAACCTCTTCAGGTGTAAAATCGCTTTTAGCTCGAGACTATTACCATTAGATAGACTCCAGCGAATACTTAAAAAGTCTATCTTGGTTCCAGTTCATAGGTCTTCCGGGGCTGAGATATTGAATCGTCAAGTTATGAACCGAATAGTCATTTTTTGTCTAAAATCTTTAATATCTCGACAAATAAATATCGTATAAAAGCTATAGATTATGGATAACTAGTAGGCATATTGATGATGATCATCGGAAAGTTTAGTGTCTCATAATTATTTTCTGATATGTTGATTTCCAATGTTTCTTTATACCAGTGAAAGATTATAGCTCTGATTTCTCCACAACAACTGCATCAATCAGGTTTATATTTTCATCATAAATAAATGACATTATGACTTCTATATGGCAGAAGCCTGACTTCATTGGTAGCTTTCTTAAACAATTTCAATATTCGATTATTACTAACGCTTTTTAAATAATTAAGAAACACATGTTGCAAGAAGAATAAGTTGAGAACAACATACAGAAGTCAGAGCTGTAATCTTTCACTGTTATAAAGAAACATTGGAAATCCACATCTCAGGAAATAACTATGAGACACTAAACTTTCAAATAATTATCATCAATATGCCTACTAGTTATTCCTAACCTATAGCTTTTATACGATACTTATTTGTCGAGATATTAAAGATTTTAGACAAAAAATGACTATTTGGTTCATAACTCGAAAATTCGTCATCTTCGTCTATTTCGACCATAACGTGACGATTCAATATCTCAGCCCTGGAAAACCTATGAACCGGAACCAAGATAGACTTTTTAAGTATTCGCTGGAGTCTATCTAATGGCAATAGTCTCGAGCAAAAAGCGATTTTACACCTGAAGAGGTTCCCTCGTTAGCTTTATTACGGTGAGCCACTTGATTTTTTTTGTCAAAAACAAAACATTTCGAATTCTTTAATAATAAAATTACCTTGATAATTTCGTTTTTTGATCTGTAACAAGTAATTCAACAATTGGAATTAATCTTTCATCAATTAATTTTTGTCTTGATATTCTTATTAATTCATCAATATGTTCATCATATAAACGTTCAGCTTGTTGTTTTCCGAACATATCAATAAATGTTTGTATACTTGTATGATGTTGCCAATTAGTATAAAATTTTATCCATGAACCTAATCGAAAATCTAAAACATGTCTTGTTAGTAACGTTTTATATTCAGTTTGTATAACATGTTTTAATGATTGTTCATTTCTATAGGCATCTTTATATGTTGGTGGAATATATTTAATCATTAGTATATTTGAATGTGAAGATTTTCTTGATGATGATGATAATAATATTGGTTCATCACATGCATATAAAGCAAGTTCAAGTACAGCTTGAATATTCACATGTTCATTTGCTGATGTATGTATAATAGGTATATTTAATAATAATTGTGAATCATTTGATGATGAACGACGTATTGATTGTTCAAATTGTAATGCACAATCGGATTGATTTTCAATTAAATCATTTTTCGTTGTTATAATCAATACAGGACGACGTGTTTTAAATAATGAATGAAGAAGAAATAAAAGTTCGGATGTTTGTTTCGATAATGATAAATCATGTATACATAAAAAAACATCAATGGTTATTTTATCTTTTGGAAATGTTTTTATTTGTGGATAATCTGAATCATTTTGAAATTTTTCTTCTGGACGTAATGTTAATGATGTTATACGTTTTATATAATTATCATATTGTTCATTATCATCAATAGCTATTGTTGAATGTTCAATTAAATGAAATAATGCTTCACGTTTTTCATCTGAACGTCGATGTCTTACTGTACCCCAATAAAACCATGTTGCTATATGTTGATTATTAGTGGATTTATTTTTTAATAAAAATGATTGATAATTATCAATATTTGAATCAATAAGACGTTTACATAATGATGATTTACCTGATAATGGATTAATACTAACTACAGCTAGAGTATATGTTGGTGGTGATAATGATGAACTTGTAAAACCGCTTGAAATGATAGCGGTAGTTTTAGACATGATATATTATCCATTCAAGGACATGGTAGGTAAACAGGTGTGTGCACAACAAGAAAAGGAAAAAAGTGTCTAAAAATAAAAGCGAATTACATTTTTTCTTTCTATTCAATACACTGTACAGATGTTGTTAAATAGAAAAGTAATCAATTTTTTACGATGCAAAGGAAAAAAAAATGAAGAAAGAACAATAACACGACGATATTTATAGACCTTTATACTTGTCATTTTCATTTTTTTTTATCGATTTGTAATATGAGAATAAAGAACATTGTAAATGAAAAATGAGAACAATCCTATACTTACTTTAGTTAACGATAGAAGCCTTATGGATACTCTCAAACAAAACAAATATAACGTTAGTTTTTCGTCTTTTTTTTTCGATTATGGACATTGGACAATGAGGAATATGTAAAATGGACAAGAAAGAATGTAATCATTTATAGGAAGTATTCTTTCAGATTGGCAGAATAGTTAAACGTAGTAGAAAAAAAAAACAATACGAAAAGAAAATGTTATTAATTAAAGAATTTATTTAAAAAATTCTTATTACATGCATGCACGCATATACGTAGATATTCTTTAAAAAAAAAATAAAAACAAACAAATTGTTGACAAGTTTGAAAAAGAAAAATTCTTTTTTTAATTGGAAAAAAAACTTATACCAATTAAAAAGGATATTGATATAGATGGCGTTAATTAAATAAGAAATGAGAATTATATTATTAGGAAAAAATTTTTTAAAGACAAAAATAAAATCTATTATTTTGTTAAATATTATTTTTCAACTAAAAGTTTTGTGTTCATATTTTAATGGACAAATTTAATTATAATTCACTACTATCCTCTATCAATGAGAATGTTGTCGTCATCATTTGAAAAATAGTTATAGATGCGAGAAAAGTTGATTGGTTAAAATTTTTGCAATCGTAGTTGATGTAACTTCATCATATATCTGATGCAAAAGGAATATTCCAATGTCATCACTATATTCCATATATATCCGAATTGTTATCAATTTTTAGATAAATCTAAAATGGCCTCTGGTGATTCGAGCGATTCTAGTAAAAAACCACACGAACAGCAACAGGTACTGCCGATAAGAATGTGTTTCTGAAGTGAAAACGAGACGAGTAGTGAAAAACATTTATCGTCTGACGGTTTCTCTTATCAAAACAAATCAACCCAGATAACATACGTTATCATTACTAATAAAATTAATTTTGTATGTTTTGTTTAATTAGAATGTAGGTTCCACAACACATGAAGAAGATTTTGCTCAAGGTAATTATGGCATCTTGCCATTGATTCAATCAAAGGAAAAAATTGATCGTCAATTAATTCCTGTACATGATATAAATGAAAAATTAGCTAAACAAACAATTTGGGTTCGCGGTCGTCTTCATACAAGTCGTGGTAAAGGCAAACAATGCTTTCTTGTTATTCGTCATCAATCAGCAACGATTCAAGCTGTTGTTTGTGTCAATGAAAATGTTAGTAAACCAATGGTTAAATTTGCTACTACGTAAGATCATTATCATTAAAAAAAATAATATTAAAAATGAATCCTTTTCTTTTTCAAATTAGCGTTACAAAAGAAAGTGTTATTGATGTTGAAGGTGAAGTTACTTTAGCACCAACACCGATTGAATCATGCACACAGAAGGATGTTGAATTACAAGTTAAAAAGGTACATTTCCTCAAGGTTTTTTGTTTAAAGGTCATTTTATATCTTGATATTTGATAAGATGTTTGTTGTCAGTCCAGCTGAACCACGTTTACCATTATTAATTGAAGATGCTATGCGACCAGATGATCCAACTAGTGAGGGTCTTCAAGCACCTCATGCTAATCAAGATACACGACTTGATAATCGTGTAATTGATTTGTAAGTTTAATTTATTGATTTGAAAAACGAAACGATCTAACAAATATTTTTTAGACGTACACCAGCTAATCAAGCTATTTATCGTGTAGAAGCAGGTGTTTGCAAATTATTTCGTGATACACTTGATGCTAAAGGTTTTGTTGAAATTCATACGCCAAAAATTATTTCAGGTATATTTCTGAATTATGAGAGAACCTTTTCAACTGATCTTTTTCAGTTTCAATGATTTTGTACTCACAGATGATACATAGTGCCCCAATAAAAACTCTAAAAGAATTTGGATTCCTATTCAGATTTGATTAAGTTGTCAAGTGTTTATTATGTTTATTTTCTAGAAGTCCCATGTTTTTGTAAAATACGTATTTTTGGAATATAGATCTTCAACTTTGTGCTTATAGAGAACTTAAACAGACTAAGCTTCTTCAAAAAAATGCATATTGTATACACTATCTATGTAAAAAGGGTCTATATTTTGACAGTTTCATATATTCAAGAGGCTGTGTTCGAAACTTGTGAATTTTTTTATTGAAGCTAGTCTAGGTGATTTCTCTATAGGCACAACGGTTTCAGATGAAAATCCGAGTTTTACGAAAATTTGGAATCTCTAGAAAAAAAATTCAATAGTTTGCTTAGATCCAGATCTTTCTAGGGTTTTGATTAGGATACTATGTTCTATCGATAGGGAAAAAAATCATTGAAATCGAAAGCGAAAAGCTGAAAAGGTTCGCTCGTTAGTTTTATAGATAAAATTAATTTTTTTTCTTTGTTGATTTTTAGCGGCATCCGAAGGCGGTGCTAATGTATTTCAAGTAACCTATTTTAAATCAAATGCATATTTGGCACAATCACCTCAATTCTATAAACAAATGGCTATTGCTGCTGATTTTGGCAAGGTTTATACTATTGGAGCAGGTTGGAGTTTTTATTTTTTATATTATACAGATTTGTTTACTTTGATTTTTATAGTCTTTCGTGCTGAAGATTCAAATACACATCGGCACTTAACTGAATTTGTTGGTCTCGATCTTGAAATGGCATTTAGTTATCATTATCATGAAGTTGTTAATACTATTGGTGATCTATTTACACAAATTTTCAAAGGTCTTGCTGAACGGTTAGTTGAATTTAACTTTTCAACTTGTGTAAAATTTATGACTCTTGATTTGATTTAGATTCGCCACAGAAATTGCTATTATTAATAAACAATTTCCTTGTGAGCCATTTGAATTTGTTGAACCCGCGTAAGTTTCAATGAATTGATAAGAAGCTTTTTCTCTAAGATAAGCTTTTTGTAGGTTACGCCTTGAATATAAGGAAGGTTTGGCATTACTTGCTGAAGCTGGTGTTCACATGGGCTCTGAAGAGGATTTATCAACAGAAAATGAACGTATATTAGGTCGCATTGTTAAGGCTAAAGTAAATATACAATAGCAATTTCTTTTATTATGTTTGTAAATGTAATTTTTATTTTTCATAGTATCATACAGATTTCTATATACTTGATAAGTATCCATTGGCTGTACGACCATTTTACACAATGCCTGATCCAGATAATCCTGTAAGTGTCCTATATTTATTATTTTTTTCTGTAATTCGATCATGTGTAATCTTAGAAATATTCAAACAGTTATGATATGTTCATGCGTGGTGAAGAAATTCTTTCCGGCGCTCAACGTATCCATGGTAACTTCTATATTGATGTCAAATGAAAATAGCTTGCGTAACCTTTATGTGTGTTTGCTTTAGATGCACAATTATTACTTGAACGTGTAAAACATCATAAAATCAATATCGATCAAATAAAATCTTATATTGATGCATTTCGTTATGGTTGTCCACCACATGCTGGTGGTGGCATTGGTTTAGAACGTGTTCTTATGCTTTATTTAGGTTTGGGCAATGTTCGAAAAACATCCATGTTTCCACGCGATCCAAAACGTATTACACCTTAAAAGACCATAATCAGTTTCGTTGTTTTTTGTTTTTACTATTTCTTTGATTTTGTTTGTCTCATAGTCACCTTGAGACAAGACGAAAAAAACAGCGATTAATCATATTGTTAAACGACATAAAATGTTTTTAAAACAAAGAACGTATTCACGAAAACGATCTCTTTTCAGATAAACATGACACATACATGCAGACAATAATGGGAATGAATATTTCAATAATCTTTCATTAACTAAAGACAAACACGTATGAAAACTAAGCATAATAAATCTTCTCATTAAACGAGAAAAGAATCATTTATATGATAATGACTATTCTTTTTTGTTTAATTTATCTAGTTGAATGATTGATGTTTACTCGTTATCAGTTTAATAATCAGTAAAAAAGATGTTTTCTAGTATATATCAAATGAAATAATATAGTTTAATATCATTATATGTTCTTTTGCTAAAGAAAAATAGGCATTAATTTATATTTGCGATGAATGCATGAGTAAATACCATAAATCTTTTGTTGATTATTATTTGTCCAATGTTGTTAGATGTATGAGGACATAAAAGAATTATCTATAGGTAGGCAACAGCTCGCTCGATCTCTCTTAAAAGGTCATTCTATCGTTATTTGCTTAATGTCGCCGTTCGTTTCTTGCCTTCTCATTTGCTTAAAGGAGAGAAATCGTTAAAGTACAGACGTGTACATACGTTGTTAAATGAGATGTTTGTCTTTTCTTCTCTTTTTACCTCGTCATCTACTAAATCTGTTCAACAGTGTACAATTTTCTATATTATACATATATATATATAATCAAAATGCTTCTTTTTCTGGCCGATCCACTTCGCAGACAACGTCGCACTCTACTGATTTCAATATATACTTCTTACATATACTATTGACGTCGATTGAAGCTAATAAAATAAATCAGTCAGCTATTTTTTTTTTGTATTTTGATTTTTTTTTCTTTTCTATTCTTTCAATAGAAGCTCGATCGGTGAAGTATTTAATTTCACACATGAATACTCTTTTCGTACAGCATTTTGCATTTGCATTATTCTCTTTATTAATGTTTTTCTTTTTTAATGTACACCTGATCATCGAAAGGTGAGCGTACATGATTTCTTCCAATACCTTTTTCTTCCTTTTTTTTTTCTCCCTGAGGAAATGTTTT